TGATGGCTTAACTCAGTAATTACACGTTACTATGGATAATTTAACCTAGGATCTAAAAAGCCTAATCCATATAAGAATGGTCATATCACCATATCTCTTATATTTTTCTTCCATACTTAAAACAATTTCACTTAAATATTATCATATCTATATGAGAAAAGTTTTAGCAATTTAACTAAACTATCTAACGCTAATTAGTTAGTTGGATATAAATACCACTTATGTATTAGTAGCATCATAAAAAATTTTAAGAAATGAATAAAAAAGTTCCACAACCGCCCAATCATCATAACAACTCCTCTGGATAGTTCTTCCGGTTGACGAAATCTGTATTTGTTTTGCAATTGACAAAGCTTTTTCCAACATCAAGTAGGTAGAGTTCCAACGGATAGACATGTCTGTACATAACTTCAAAGGTCGAACAGGTGGTCCTCTTGCTTACAATATTTGACGTACTCCTACCATCTTTTATTGCTACCGCCACGATAAATCTGATAGCTCTACCACCCTCTCCATCTTGAATGTATAGCATCTAAACCTGTTTTAACTACAAATTGATGATGTGACAAGCACTCTCTGGTGATAAAATTTGTCTTCACCAACAGATCCAATTTCTTTTCAAATAAAGAGATTGTCGCGGGTTAGCAGCTGCATTATCAAGCGTTAACGCTAAAACTCTATCTGTAAATAAATATTCTTGCAAAACTTCAAGAATTGTAAAAAAATAGTTTTAGCACTAGTTTTCATATAATGGTTTAAAACCTATCAATTTTTGTTGTAAACCCCAATATGATCTAAAGTGTACTGTGACAGTTAAAAAATCGGTTTTTGATCTACACCCATATGTCTGATGTAAGTGCAATAGATATATTCCTAAAATTGAAATTCATTTTAAGTTTATTATTTATTTTGTTATAAAGTTTTAGTATATCTCTTCTACTTGTACTTCTACTAACAGGGGTATATGCTGGACAAAATGTAGTTTAACCATATTAACAAAAAAGGATTTTCAAATAAACAAATGGGAGAGTCCGTAGCAACTATATATCTTGTTATTTCCTCTCGTGCAACATGTGTATTTATTGCCATGTTGAGAAGTTGAGGATGTGGATTAAATTAAGTGTAGTTTGAATTTGTCTACCTGATCCGCTTGAGATGCATTTATTTTGGGATGCTTCTTCTCTACGTGTCGTGCATCGTCGAAGTCCCTTTTCAGTGCCAATAATGGTTCCACATAAATTATATCCCACACGATTCTTCCCCTCCCATTTGTCTTTGGCCGTTTTGATTTGATGAAGTATCGCCAGACATCGGACACGACCCTCTTTGACGATCGGGGGGTTGGGCTATGTCTGTGCCCGTTAACTCCCATCTCGCATGTGTTTGGCTACACCTCGTCCTACGATATGGGTGTGAAATTGCAGCTGCTTCCGGACTGGAGAATTGTGAAAAGGATTGCCTTCATTTCTTTCGGTGGATGGAAGTAAAACTCATTTGGGGAAGACATTATCATATTATGAGAAATAATAAATAATTAAAATAAAAAGAAATTAAATATATATGAAATTTGATGAATGATGATATTGAAAATAGAAAAAATTGAATAATATAAATAAATTATATGAATAAATTATAATATAAATTGAATGAGAATTGATTGGAGATTTGGAGTAGAAGATTGAGAGAATGAAGAATAAGAGATATTGAGTGTGTGAAAAAAATGAAAGATTTTAGGGTTTTATAGTGTAGTTGTTGGGGGGGGGGGGGGGGGGGGGGGGGGGGGGGGGGGAATGAAAAAAAACTTTTAATTAATAATAATTATAACCGTTGGCTGCTCTGCTGTGACCGTTGGCAGCCAACGGTTATAAAAAGTTAAAAAAAAAAAAATATATATATTATATTTATTTAATAAATTTTGTGAAATTTTATTTTAGCCATTATAATTTATTTTATTTAAATTAATAAGGGGTTTAATGTAATTTTACAGGGGACTAAAGGATAAAATACAAAAAAAATTAGGCTAGGCGGCTCGGCCTTGGAGGAGGGCCCGGCCTCCTCTAGGCCTGGTCCCGTTTTGGGACCAAGCCTCCTAGGACGGTCCTCTCAAGGACTAGTCCTAGGATCGGGTTTTGATGCTGGGCTTTGGGCCCGGTCCCAAATGCCCAGCTCTACTTAATGGCTGATGGTTGGACAGATATATTCACATAGTTGCTGATTAATTTTCTAATGTACTGTCCTAAAAGAGTGTGTTTTGTGAAATCAGTGGATGCTTCAGATCTTGTAAAGGATGATGCAACATTGTTAGCTTGTTTGAGGAAATGGCTTTATGGGTTAGACCAACATATTTCCATCTTTCACTGACAATGGAGCAAATTATAAGTTGTTGGAAGAATGTTGTCTGAAAAACATAGCAGATTACTTGGTCTCCTTGTGCAGCACATTGCATTAATTTGATGTTGAAAGACATAGCTGAGATGAGTCATATAGTCAACCTTTCGACACGTGCATCTGGGTTACAAAGTTTGTGTATAATCGTTCCTTTGTGCTAGCTTTGCTAAGGAAAAAAACAGGTTATATACCTTTACCTCATATGTTTATAATTTACATTGTCAAGACATAATATATATGTGTACTTTTTTATTATTTACTAAGTACTAACATCTATTGTCTATCACTTGAATGGTTGGACAAAAATTATATGCCCAGGTGCAACCCATTTTGCCACAACTTTCATTGCATTGAGCACTACACATCACAAACATGACTTGCAATCTACAGTGACAGATAGAACTTTTGTGGAGTCTCAATATGCAAAAACTAATAAAGGCAAAGCCTTTATTTCCATAATTCTAGAGAACAGGTTCTGGGATGACATTGGTATAATTTCCAAAGTTGTGAGTCCATTGATGCGTATGCTCCGGATTGTAGACTCAGATGAGAGGCCTTCAATAGGACATGTGTATGATGACATGTACAGAACGATGGGAATCAATAAGTAGTTTAGAACAAGAAAAATGTGTATAAGCCTTATACAACAATTATTAAGATGCGCTAGGATAGGATGTGCGTCGTGATATTCATGCAACAGCATATTATTCGAATCCTGCATTTAAATATGACGAAGATACTTTTTCCAAAAAACCTGAGGTCATGTAGTTTCCTTGACACTATTGACAGTAAAGCAACTGCATTCAAAATGAGCAAGACAACGTTACTGGAGGAGAGTAGATTATATCGAGACCGCTAGAAAGCTTTTCCCGTGAGTTTGCTCTTCAAACTTGCAAAACTACATGGCCGTATGTAATATATTTAACTTTTAAGTCTAATTTTTAAGTTATGAAATTGTGTTTATTTCTTATGTAATTTATGCTTTTATTCTCAATTAGATGAATGGTGGAGGACATTTGGGTTTAGTGCTCCAAATTACAAAAGTTTGCAATCAAAATTCTAAGTCAAACTTCGGCCTCTTCTAGATATGAGCGAAATTGGAGTGTTTTTAACACATCATCTAAAAAGAGGAATAGATTGGAGCATCCACGGTTGAATGATTTGGTTTTCACTCATTATAACTTGCGTTTCAAAATAGGTATAAAGCCTTCTTCATTTTGTTATTTCATTGATGTCTTTATTGGTCATGATTGAATATTTAATTCTGCTATTACATGAGTTTACAAGAAAATTACATATGATCCTTTGATTATGAAAGTATTGAAAAACTTAATGGTGGATAGTTGATGAAAGAAAAGGTTGGTGAGCTTAATTATGATGAATTGCAACAATCATTATATGGAGAAGGAGCTATTCTATATATGGTGGTGATCACCCTTCTTATATGACTCAACGGATGCTTTGAAGGTTGTTTACAATTTTTAAGCAATTTCAATTTGGTAGTAGCTAGTTTATACTTTATATTCATTAGTTTAAATGGGAAGATTTAACTTATGGTTTTCCTTTTTTGCTAGAATTTTTTGTAGATGATATCCGCGATGTTAATATGATGACAATCATCTGTCAGGTGGTGGTGTGAATTGTAAATTTTAATTGAGGATGGAATGATGGATTAAAGACTATTGGGTGAAGATCATTTTTGTTAGAATGTGAAGTGTTGACTTGAAAGTTGAAACAACTATTATGTCATTTTTCTTCCCTCATTTTTGTTATTGATTTGTAATTTGTTGTATTATTGATGTAATGATGTTTGATGATGTTTTGCTAAGGATTTTTTATTTTGGAGTTTATGATTTGGAGCCAAATTCTGAAATTTGCAATCTGTGAATTAAAATTTGCTGACGTCAGCATTATGACGTCACCGGTTGAACCAGCTGGTTCAACCGATTAAACCAGTCAACCCAGGACCCAGCCACCTTGTCGGGTTTTGTCCCTAGTCGGTTTTTAAAACATTGTGCTTTTCAAACCAAAAGTTGAACTTTTCCAATCAATTTTTCATCTTTAATATTATGGAAACAACTAATTAAAGCTTTAATTTTTCAAGAATTTGAAACAGCTCAAAAATTGAATTTCGAATTATAAGAAAAGGACAAAAAAAAAATTGAAGAAAGAGAGAGTGAATGAATGGTTAATTTTGTTTAATCCCCTTCATTTTTGGTTAATTTTTAATACACCTTAACTTTAATATATACACTACATAAGAGTATTCGACATGGCCTATGTGTTTTTAGTAATTTGATCTTCATTTATGCAAAAACTTGATGGATGATTAGTAAAAGAGATGGTGAAAGGAAACAATTGTCAATCACATATTCATAAATGTTATATAATATCATATATCATAAGATTAACAAAAGATGTTAAGAGCCCACAGTAAAACATGAGAGCTCATTTGGTTTTATTTGGGCCGGCCCGAAATTTATAGACGAGGCAACAAAATCCATAACAAGATAAAAGAAGACTCACAAGAGACAATAAACGCGGCGCATTTTAAAACAAAAACACGGCCAACGTGCTAACATGCACCGGCCGTTTGAATTGAAATCGACATCAGTAACTAAACACAACCCACGTCGATGGCTGCTGTTACCACATCCCCATCACCAATCCCTCCAATATTCCTTCTCTACTCACAACCGGATCCCCAGATCTCTTCACCATACAACCCATTTCACCTCCCGCAACATGTTCAAATTTTAAGGATCCAAACATTAAAATGATTGGAGGCATTCAATTGGGAGTCTTGGCCGCGTGTTTAGTCCTTTTCGTGCCCATGTTAATGGCCGGCTGGCATTTAAGCCGAAACAAGATGTTATTTTTCAGCGGTGCTTTGTTCATAACCCTCGCGGTTTGTGTACATTTGACTCCTTATTTTCCTTCTGTTTCTGAATTTGCGTCGTCGTTTTCGTCTTTTGTAGTGTTTGATCATCGCAATTCTTGTATTAATTTGGTCAATCAAATTGCGTGGGATGTTAAACCTAGAACTGATTTAATTGATAAAAGTGATAATTCTTCTTTTGAATATTATGAGAAGAATTGGGAGTGGGTTAATACGGGGAAAGTCAATGCTTGTGAGTTTCAGAAATTGGGGAAATCCGACGCTTCGGATTTGTTAAACGGATCTTGGGTTGTTGTGGCGGGTGATTCGCAGGCAAGATTGGTTGTTCTGTCTTTACTTAGTTTTGTTTTGGAGAAAGAACGGATGGATTCTGTTAGGGAAGATTTGTTTAGGAGACATAGTGATTATAATATTGTGGTACATGAGATTGGTTTGAAATTGGATTTTATATGGGCACCCTATGAGAAGAATTTGACGGATTTGGTTATTAAGTTTAAGGTTAAGAGGAAGTACCCGGATGTTTTGGTGATGGGTTCGGGGCTATGGCATATGTTACATTGCACGAATGCAACTGATTATGTTGTTTCTTTGCGGGTGTTGAAAAGTTCTGTGGTGTCTTTGTTACCTTTTTCCCCAGAGTTGGGAACAAATGGGCCTGTGACTGGTTCCGTTTCGATTAGATCACCGCATTTATTTTGGATTGGCATGCCTGTGTTGATAAATGGGATGTTGAATACAGAGGAGAAGAGGGAGAAAATGAGCGATGAAATGTGGCATGCTTATGATAGAGCACTTGGAGATAGTAAGCTCTTGCGCCAAACTGGTGGGCCACTTGTATTGCTTGATATTCAGTCTTTGACTTGGAATTGTGGTCCTCGGTGTACAATTGATGGTATGCATTATGATGGAGTTGTTTATGAAGCAGCTGTTCATATCATGCTAAATGCATTACTCATTGAATCTCACCAGGTGCTGTAAAAGCTATAGTTTTGCTTGTCTCTTAAATTGGTGCGGCTTTTGCATGGGGTTACAAAAGGGCTCTCTAACACTTTCAAGACATTGACCCTTAAATGAGGCTGAATTCATACCTCCTATTTTGTATATGTGATTCTTTCCACGCTTATAATCAACTCACAAGTAAAGTTTTGTGTTAGTATACACGCATTGAAATTCTTTTTTTGGTTCTTTGTTCAAATAGGTTTGAAAACTGAATACTCGAGGTATTGATATTTTATAGTCAAACAACTGGATCATTCTCACATCCAATTTTGATGGGAATAGGGTTGACAGTTTCATATAAATATAATAAATATAATATCCATGCTTTCATTAAGTTTATAGCATTGGAAAGATCTTGTTGCTTCACTTCAATTGATTAGTTTTTTTTTGTTTTGAATGATCGCATATTGACTTTTTAAATCGATTTTGGATTGAAGAGTCTGTTCTCCTTTCTGCTGTTTGTTGATATCTTGTCAAGAGATCAATGCTACAGTACACAAATAGAAAAGAAAAACCTACAATCACTTTTGATTAGTTCTACTGTGTATGTTGTAATCTGTTTATTATGAGGAACCTATCACTTGTATTAGCATAGTAATAGCTGTGAAGTGCTACAGTGACTACCGTCTGATAAAACTGTTCTTACCCTATCTTAGATATCAATATTTAATAGAGGGGTTATGATTAAGAGCTCCATGTCTTTTACTCAAAGTTAAAGCCCTTGGATTAATATTTGAATGGTTGAGATTGCATTCAGTTTGAATTTGACCTATCACAAATGCTTAGGAAAAGCTCAACCTAAGTGGAAGAAATATGTTCTAGTTTAGATGTCCCCAAATGTATAAAATATGGTCAGAGCATTATTGTTCTAAAATTATCTTTGTGATTGGGTTGGTTACTTGACAGGTGTGTTTTTAACCTAAACCCATTTAATTTTAGATGTAATTTGGAATTAAAGGATGGAAATATACTAATACCATGGATTTTATTGCTCCATCTGTGTTTCACATTTTTTGAGTTAAACATCAAAGATAGGATACATGTATTTTTTAATGACTAGTCGATTCTATGGCTTACCTGGAGTTGGTTCTATGTACAGTTGGCCGCTCTTACTGGACTAGGTGTTCCCTGAGGCGTGTGTCTGATTCAACAATATTTTATACAATGATAAATGTTTGCATTGCAAGACTGTTTTTAGTACTGTCGCTAACTGAATGAATTTGATAACTCTTTAGACTTGAAATTTTGAATGGAGTTTAATGGTGAGAAGACTTCAAAGTCTATACTGGATGCAGTCATGAGAAACAAACTGATGTATGCAATGGGATGTCTCTGAAGAGACAGTAGAACTTGTTTTCCCCTACCTTGCTGCTCTTTCCTCCTTCAAACAAGGATACTATTGTAAATATTTTCTATTTTCTATTTGTATTAATGAATGGTCTATCTTGTCACTTCTGCTGTGGTTCTGGTGACTATCATTTCTTAAATTTCGAGACTCTGAAGCATGATGTGCCGAGTTTGTATGATAACAATAACTAAGAATAAGAAAATTTTATATTCTTGGTATATACCTATGAAATTTTTTAGTTAATGACATTTGTGGCTGACATAAACTACTTCGGATGGCAAGAAATTGTTAGAACTAGAATTTGGTTTCTGTGTTGGAAATGACTCTTTTTTATTATGTTTCAATAACTTTGTATTTGGTTTGTTTCAGAAGTACTATATTAATTCTGTAAGTGAACCTATATATTGTTAGGTTTCTCATTCAAATATGACTCACTTTGGTTTATGTCCCGAACTATTCTTCTCCTTCCTGATAGAAGTGAATCTATATTTTGTTATGTTTTCCTTTCTAATCAAAATGTACGACTTATTTTGATTATGTTGTGAACTGTTTACTTCCATCCTGATTTGGAATTCTCAACCTTGGTTATTTGTGTCATGAAGTTTTTGACCCATATCTTATTACTATTGCATCTCTTTAATATGTTACTCTTTATCATCTCTGAGCTACTTTTCTCAAGCATCACTTTAGAATTTTGTTCCTGTCATACTCTATTTAATACTCTCTTCTGTTGTTAGATGCACATCCTACCTCCAAATGTGCACTGGATTTATCATTTTGGTTCTGTTGAAAAATGCAACAAGTCTTTGATACAAACTAGGGTTTTACTTCAGAAGTTATTACATTTACTGCTGCTGCTGACATTATATGAATTGCAGGCAAGCACTGATGATTCGGCATTTATTTATTTTATTTTATTTTTTTGGAGGAAGGGGTTGTTCTTTGTTAGTTACTCCGTTTCTCTCTACAGGGCTTTAAACTAAAGGAATTACTCCGTTTCTCTCTACAGGGCTTTAAACTAAAGGAATTACCGGTTTTTTATTTTTTTTATAATGTCAAAGAGTCATTTCATTTCTTTGGTGAGACCAATTTTACATACAATAGTATGCAGTGTAAATTTCTTGCTGTCATTGATATTATTTCGTATTCTCATTTCTCCTTTGAGCTCGTAATTTCTTAAAATTTTAATTGCTGTTGTAGCTGAGAGTGGGAAAATTTTGGTGAGATTAAGTTTGAAGAATTGGGCAATATCACCCCTCATTGAAATATTGTTTGGGCATCAACTTTGTGGTCTAGGTGTTCTTCATTTTATTTTTTATTATTTGTTAATTTATGTAATATTCTATAATAATCATTGCATATAGAATTTGTATAACACATGTTAATATAACTCTTTATTTTATAAATAAAATATCATTAGAAAACTTTTGTAAGATAATCTTTTAAGTTTAATAAATTATTAGGAAAAATTTATAACAAATAGAATTTGTATGATTTATCCTAGATTAATTATTAAGGATATATAATTAATGGTGTTATAGTTATATATTACATCTCTTCTCTTGAAAGTAAAATTAATTTACAAATTAAACAAAACAAACACCTTAAAAACTTTGATGTAGAGGTAATTATTTATACAATTGAGTTATAACTAATCCTAAAAATTAAGTTAAAATTAACAAATTGCATTGCAATCCAATCGCCATCATAGTTAAGACCTTGTCACGACAGCACAATAATTGGCTGCAATGACCGCAATCGCAATATTTAAGGGGGTATATATGTCCTTACAATTCAAATTCTTATTAATAACAGCTAACAATTTCAGGGTGCAAATGTCACTTTCTAAAACCTGTGGGTCTTATTTTTACTAAACCTGAAGGATGTCATTGTAAAACCCCATTCGCATCCATCCCACACATCTAGAAGGATGATTTTTGCAGCCAAAGATGTCAGACAAAAATTCCAAGAATGGTTTTCTATTGATAAAAATCTCCCAAAATCCTGAAGTTAACGACCGAGTAAACCCTCTAGTGTTCATTTATAAATAAAAATCTCTTAGGACCCGTTTGAATTGGGTTGAAATTTTTTAATAAGGGTAATATTTGTTTAATTGAGCAGATTACCATGTTTGGCATTTTTGTACAAAAACATTACCGGAAAATAAGATGACAAACAGTGCCAAAAAGAGGATAAATCATCGGGAATAATCTTACCTGGGGGGAGGGTGGTATTAAAATATTACTTCGGTAATCCAAATTTCTGTCCAATTTTACCCCAAAACAGTGGACAATGTGGACGAAAATATCCTTGGTTTTGTTAATAATTACAAAACACCCAATTTGTAAAATGATAAAAACACCCCCACCACCACAGTGCCAGATTCCGGCCACCACCGTCGGAATCTAGTCGGAATCTGCCGTTACGACTCAGACTGGTCGAATCTGGCCGGTGGTGTGTCGATCTGGCCTTTTCCAACCAGATCCACCATGGATCTGGCCAGAAAAGGCTAGATCTATGGCCAGATTTAGCCGTCAACAGCCGCACGACGCCCAGATCTAGCCTTTTCCGACCAGATCCACCACGGATCTAGCCGAAAAGGCCAAATCGGTGAATAAACGGTCATTTTCGATCGTTTTTAGGTCGTTGTGACAGATTCTGACCACCACTAACGGTGGTTGCTGAAATCTGGCAACTATGGGTGGATGGGATTGTTTTTGTTAATTTTTAAACTTTTTTTCTGGGGGTGTTTAATTAAGTTAATAAACTTAAGGGGTCTAAAAATATTAAAAAACTAGAATTGTATTTCCCAAATAATTAAACAAACAAGTATTTTGGGAATAGGATAGAGAATAGGGTTTGAAATAATAAAACAAACAAACCCTTAATTCTTTATATCTAGTAATCATCTAAAAGAAATTCTAGTAAAAAGGTATTTCAGGACATCTGTTATTACTATCAACCAAACACATTAATTATTAATACATCCCAATTGAACCAAGGACAATAATAATTTAAACTCGGTAATCTACAATGTAATCTTTCTTTCCGGTAATCTTATTACTAAGATAAAAAAACATTATATGATCCAAACGCCTCCTTAGAGTCTTGAAGTTAACGACCAGGTTCTAAAAAGCATTTTTTCTCAATCAATCCCTAGAATTTAGCTTGTTGGGTAAGTATTTGATCAATTGATCCAACATGAAAGCCAAATTTGGGTNGTTCATGACAGGATGAACCAGATTTTCTTGTCAGGAAAAATGACTACTCCCTCGTGTTTGTCCTTTCCCAATGGCCTCACCTACCTTATATGAAATCAATATCATGGAATCACTGAAGAATGTCAATTTTTTTTGTATAAAATTGGTGCCATCTGCAGTTGGTTTTCTCAATTAAAAACTCTTGTATGTTTGTTAAATGATTGTATGTGCAGGGACCCACTGTCAGTCCTGTTTTTCGCAAACGCGATGGGAAGGTAACAGCTGATTATTATGCCATAGTCATTTGTGTACCCAAGAAAGCACTATACAAGTCTGTACAGCAACTGAGAGCGGTGAGTCATAGTTCTATTATACACACATAGACACACACATAACAATTGTATGAACCGTGACATTTTTTTCTGAAATCTATTAAAGATATAAATAGATACTTAAATACACTTCAAAAATTGTTTCTGGTTTATAGATAAGATTTCATTTTTCATTGCTATAATACACAGTTGAATTGACTTTTCAATAGGCAGTGAATAAACATGCCTGGTATATTTTTAGGGAACATTGCCTATTCATATTTAACCATTGCTGTTGAAAACCAACTTAATTGTTTTTCTTGCTCATACATAGTTTTGGGCTACATAAACTAGCCTTCCATCATAAGCGGGTTTATTCCAATTTCTGTAGTTCTCAGACATTTTTGAATCTCAACATATTGGTTGTGAACTTCTAAGGATCTTCTCTGCCTGCCTTTTTGTGCAGTAATGCATGTTTTGAAATAAGGCGGCTTCTCCCAGCCAGATCCACTTGATGAATTTGATTTCTTAAATATTGTTTGATATAGATTGGAGGCAGCGGGGTTCTAATCTCGCCCTTGACCTACATTTTTGATGAAGAGACTCCAAGATGGCGTGAGCTTCTCTCAGAACTTGGGCTTTAATTCCTGTTTTATTTGTTAGATAACTTATAGTATATCTGTAGCTGTCAATGCTGGAGTGATCGTTGAGCATCCTGACAATAACTGTAAAATTTGGATGAAAAATGCTTCGACAAGAGAGGTACAACTTGGCAATTTTGTATTGTTGTCTTTGTTTGTTTGAATTTTTAGACGGTTTTTGCACTAGTAATTGATTTCTCGTTTCACTGTAACGATGATGATGGTATAGAAAAACATTTCTATATTGTATACCGCAATTGTGTCTTTGTTTGGCCTTTTGTCAATAGAGTTAAACCAAATGAACTGCATTGACTTAAACCAAAAAAAAAAAAAAAAGGATGAAAGAAAAATCTTTAAATTAGTGAAATCTCTTTGCATCCCTCGAAATTATTTCCCTATTAACAACTTTGGATACAAGCTTAATCCAATTGTGGCAGTCCCCACACTCTTAAGGTTCTTAAAAATCCTGATACTAGAAGTTTGATTACTAGTCTTCCATAATGTAAAAGCTATGGCTAGTTTCTCACTATGGTAATACAAAGACCTCTCTTTCTCTCCTCATCCAAGTCTTGCAACACAAATCTAGTATCTGGAACATAACCAAGGTTTTTAACCTTTTGAATTAGATTCTCTAGTGTTTCGGTTATCTCTTGCGACCTTGGGTGGGACCAATCCCCGGCCATGAAGATATGGACCTCGCGATCAACATCAACCCAAGTCATTGCCAGATCCTTTTTCAATTTCATCTCCCTCATTGTGGTCTTCATCTCAATAACCTAGTTCCATTTGCCTGTTGCAGCATAAAGATTTGACAACAAAACATGAGCTCCTTCATCCGCCCATGCAAGCTCGAGCACTCTATTCTTAATTCTATCCACCATTTCGACTCGTCCATGAATCTTGCACCCACTAAGTAGCGCCCTCCATAAAACCACATATGGATTCTTAACCTGATTTATTAATGTTTCAGCCAATATTTTAAAACCCAACCCTGGCTAAAGCCACATCTAGCTAAGACCATATTACTGTTTTTCAATTTTCAGTGGATTTACTCATCGAAAATCAATTCCGTCGCCACCATTATACTCATTGGAACTTGCTCTTTAAAAGCCCTAATATCCCGACCTTCAATTGTTCGTAAATCATTATTCAAAATTCTAGGATTTTGAGTGAATATAAATAATGCAAACCCAACCCGGTGAGGCTTTCAAGTACTGGTTACACTGGGCTGGATTTTAAAACAGTGGTTTCAGCCTCCTCAAGTCTTCCAGAACGTCCAAGCAAATCAACCATACAAGCCTAATGATCTCTTGTTAGTTCAATATTGCGATTGCTCTTCATAGAAGCAGATATCTGGCAACCTTCTTCTACCAACCCTGCATTGTTACATGCTAAAAGAACACTTAAAAACGTAACTTCATTTGGGACCAGTCTCAGATCTTTCATCCTATTGAACAGTTTAAGTGCCTCGGATCCGAATCCATACTGGGCATAACTATATATCATTGAGTTAACAGAGACAGCATCAAGTTCAGTTAAGTCATCAAAAAATCTTGCCATTTCTGTATTTCCGCATTTCCCGTACAAGTCAATCAATGATGCCACTCCAGAAATATTTGATATTTATCCAATCAGTAGTTCGTGACTATGGCCGGGTTTGTTTCCCTTCTTCTAGCATTGCCAAGACTGGCACACGCCCTAAGTACACTAGATAAAGTAAAAGAATTTGGATTTATCGAGTTACGGATCATCAGCCTGAACTTTGTCAAAGCAATCTTTTCTCTACCATTTTGCACAAGACCAGCAATTATTGACGTCCACATCACTTGGTTCGGGTTTGCAAACCACTTGAAAACTTTCAAAGAATCATCAATATATCCGCACTTAGAATACATAGTAAGCAGTGAAGTTTGTGAAGCAACCGCAGATTCAAAACCAGACTTAATAATAAGACCATGAATCAGCCTACCATTACCTAAATCCTTCAAATTTCCACAAGCAATCAAAATGCTTGCAAAAGTATATTCATTAGCCTTAACCCCTTCATTGATCATACTCACAAAAACCGATAAAGCATCACAATCTGCGCGCTGTTGAGAGTAACCAACAATCAAAGCAGTAAACAACACAACATCTTTCTCAACAACTTGGTCTGCCACCAATTTAGCATCCCTCATTTTACCAAACTTCGAATACATATCAACCAAAGCACTACCAACAAACACATTCGACACCTCTACGCCCAAAACCACTGACAACCCATGAGCTCTCTGCCCATCGCGCAGAGAACCCAGCTCAGAGAACGCCTTAAAAATGCTCGAAAACGTATACTCATCAGGAAAAACTCCCTCAAAAATCATCATTTTGTACAACCCAATAGCTTCCTTACTCTTTTTCTGACTAACGTACCTAGCTATCATGGAATTCCAAGTAACAATATGCCGTTCAGGCATTTCATCGAACAGCTTACGACCCTCCAAAATGCTGCCGCATTTTATGTAAGCATCAATCAGTTTATCACTTGAAGTGAGTAGAAAACCCGATTTTATGATGTGGGTTTGGATGTTTTTGAGGTCTAATATGGATTTGGTGTCTATACATTGTTGAATAAGTGAAGAGTAAAAGGGCTTTGTAGAGGGGTTTTGAGCAAGAGACGTGCAGGGTTTAAGTTTGAAAAGTTTGGTAAAGCCAACGGCTCTTTTGTGAAAAGTTAATTGCATTTCTATTAACAAGCAATCAAATTGTTGTTACTGCATGCCTTTGTTCTCAAGTGGCTTTGGCAAAGTTTATTTAGGTAGTTTTCTTGATCGAAGGTTTGGAGGAGTGCTTGTTTGATTCAAGTCTACTTAATTAACTAGAAATTTGATTACACTCTAAATGACAAGGATGAACACTAGAAAATGAGTCACTAGTTTATAAATTATAATAGGAACCACCTTTGGGTGGCCCGGTGTAACAATAACAACTTTATTTAGGGGTGAACATTAAAGAGTTTAATCCGATTGTTAACTCAGACCAAAATTCCAAGACTGGTTTTATATTTTTTATTCTTTTAGAAACAAACCAATGAACATTTGATGAACCAATCTCCCGTGTCCAACTACCTCAGTTCGTCCGCGCCATTTTCTTTTCTATCAGGTGCTTTTTTAAGGCCACCACATTTCCACCTCTTAAATACAATGACAGCATCTCCCACATCATCAAGTCAATAATATTAGTTAGATAACTAATAAGTTTATCAAATGATTATCGATCTGATAATATTATCGGAATGATCTGCAGTTTGCTACCAAAAAATGTTGGAATCATCGTACCATTTGCAGTTCAGTATCTTACTTCCCCACATCAAAGAAAACCCCACCACATCATACACCTTCACCCAATTAATACAAGAAAAAGATTTAAGACATAAAATCTAAAAAATAAAAAACTATTCTACATAATTTATGTTATTGATGGTAATCTAGTCAAATTGCTTGCCTTCAAAGGTCTGTCCGAAGTCCCAATTCCTAGGAGCAACATTATAAGATGTAACTGTGAGGCCATCACTACTAGTGACCTCAAATGAGAGAGGTTGATTCTTTAAATCAGCATTTATATGCCAGTTTTGGCCCCAATTCCTACCCATCGTAAGCCAACCTGTTAAATGACCCTTGATCTTCACTGCAACTATATCTCCAGCACCTGCCACATTGCTGATCAGCACTGAAATAAAGATGCCTGAACCATCAATTGAAAATCGAATGCCTCCTTCCTTCCTGCACTTTATCCTATTCCACACCAAATCAACATATCAGGAACTGGAAATTCTTTCAAGATACAAAGATTTATAATCAACAGAACAGGCATTCTCCAACATAGGCAATGACATACACTTAGTACAACCTCAAAAACGAAGGAAGAGTGATGCAATTGTAGCCTATAAGATGGCTTCACTTACAATAAAAGGAATGAAGATGGCAGACTTGACATTGTTATTTAGTCAGTACAAAAAATAAATAATAAAGCAAGCTAAGTACCTGCAACCCAGAGATAAATACAGTGCTAGACTCCAATACTGAAGTAGCCTAGACCAACTACTGAATTGAATTTGTCATAGTATTGTAATAACTGTTACTTCTATGGAAAACTTAAGGCTTTAGAGACAAGGCAGATGAATTGCAGTAAAACAGTATAAGATCATGAAGTATTAAGGGATAAATGAACTGATAATCCCATTTGAGGACTGTTCACAGACATGCAAGGAAAACCGTTTGAATTACGGGTATTGTATTGCATCATTAATACTACAACAATTTACTTGGCAAGTCATTGTTATTGCAATTTGTGTAAGACTACGTAAACAACACTAGGGCCCCTAGTACTAACGTAAAGGCATACTTCATTGTAGTATCTTCAAGTTCTTCTCAATTATTAAATGTTCTTCAAAACTTCATGATTTAAATATCTGCCAATTTTGCCCCATAGTTTTGTCTTTATATTCTACAAGATCCTGGAATTACTTGTCTGATACTATAGCAGGGTGTCAAATATAAACTATCAAACTGATGTAGGATCCTCTAAATAGATGTGTCTAATTTTTCAGTGCTATAATACATTCACCAAATACATACCTAAGGTTGCCCAGTTTGCATTGGACTATTCTTGGGCCTTGACTACATGCATTTATTATATCTCATTTAGCCAATAAATTGTGGCTGCTAACCGGCATAACTTGCCTAAGCTAACATCAATCTATTCCATTTGATAGACCATTGAATAGAAATAAATTTATTCCTCGGTGTAATTGTACATCCTCATCACTACTGAGAAGATAAATCAGATCATAATTTCTAAAATCATTATAAGAAGGTTCTCCACTGCAAATAGATTATATATCTCATTTTCCTACCCTTAATTTAGGAAAGAGTGCCTACCCTTCTTTCCTACAAATCTTCAATATTCTGGTAGGCATTGTGCATCCAACTAACTAATGTAAATAACTGAAAAATATTTAACNCCCATCGTAAGCCAACCTGTTAAATGACCCTTGATCTTCACTGCAACTATATCTCCAGCACCTGCCACATTGCTGATCAGCACTGAAATAAAGATGCCTGAACCATCAATTGAAAATCGAATGCCTCCTTCCTTCCTGCACTTTATCCTATTCCACACCAAATCAACATATCAGGAACTGGAAATTCTTTCAAGATACGAAGATTTATAATCAACAGAACAGGCATTCTCCAACATAGGCAATGACATACACTTAGTACAACCTCAAAAACGAAAGAAGAGTGATGCAATTGTAGCCTATAAGATGGCTTCACTTACAATAAAAGGAATGAAGATAGCAGACTCGACATTGTTATTTAGTCAGTACAAAAAATAAATAATAAAGCAAGCTAAGTACCTGCAACCCAGAGATAAATACAGTGCTAGACTCCAATATTAAAGTAGCCTAGACCAACTACTGAATTGAATTTGTCATAGTATTGTAATAACTGTTACTTCTATGGAAAACTTAAGGCTTTAGAGACAAGGCAGATGAATTGCAGTAAAACAGTATAAGATCATGAAGTATTAAGGGATAAATGAACTGATAATCCCATTTGAGGACTGTTCACAGACATGCAAGGAAAACCGTTTGAATTACGGGTATTGTATTGCATCATTAATACTACAACAATTTACTTGGCAAGTCATTTTTATTGCAATTTGTGTAAGACTACGTAAACAACACTAGGGCCCCTAGTACTAACGTAAAGGCATACTTCATTGTAGTATCTTCAAGTTCTTCTCAATTATTAAATGTTCTTCAAAACTTCATGATTTAAATATCTGCCAATTTTGCCCCATAGTTTTGTCTTTATATTCTACAAGATCCTGGAATTACTTGTCTGATACTATAGCAGGGTGTCAAATATAAACTATCAAACTGATGTAGGATCCTCTAAATAGATGTGTCTAATTTTTCAGTGCTATAATACATTCACCAAATACATACCTAAGGTTGCCCAGTTTGCATTGGACTATTCTTGGGCCTTGACTACATGCATTTATTATATCTCATTTAGCCAATAAATTGTGGCTGCTAACCGGCATAACTTGCCTAAGCTAACATCAATCTATTCCATTTGATAGACCATTGAATAGAAATAAATTTATTCCTCGGTGTAATTGTACATCCTCATCACTACTGAGAAGATAAATCAGATCATAATTTCTAAAATCATTATAAGAAGGTTCTCCACTGCAAATAGATTATATATCTCATTTTCCTACCCTTAATTTAGGAAAGAGTGCCTACCCTTCTTTCCTACAAATCTTCAATATTCTGGTAGGCATTGTGCATCCAACTAACTAATGTAAATAACTGAAAAATATTTAACCAAATAATATAATCATATGTGGATGCCATGTGCCTTGTGATTGACATCATACCATTCCATTTGAAGATTTAAATCATCCACATCCATATCTTATCATTCTTATATCCATAATCTGTACATTATATCCATAATCTTTACATATGCTCTGTTTACTAACTAAAGTTTCTTTAATGCAAATATCATAATATTGTAACTTATTCCAAGAGGAAGCAACTTACATTTAAGCTAGAAAGTATCGGATTTTCCAAAAGGAACATGCATGATTCATTATTCGTACTTCAAAATGGCCTCAAATTTAACATTGAATTTTACAACTTAGAATGATCTGATCACTTATTACACCTAGAAATTCTTCTGGGAACTGTAAACCAACATTTCGGATTTTTATGCTTATTCCACCCCTTAAGCCATGATCCAAACGTCCATGCCTCAATAAGCATACATACAAACACATTTAAAATGCTAACTTACTAAACATAAAACCAACTTCAATTTAAAATAGCTGTTCCAAGTAGAGGTTTATATTGTTATCGGCTTTCTGGCTGTCAATCATAAAAAAGTACATCTAAGTAAGCTCTTTCACCCATTTCAAAAGTCATAGCTAGTAGAGGTTTCTATTGTGTTTACATTTGGAATGTATCCCAGAAAAAAGTTTATTATACATTAGACATACCATATCATTTAAGGCAATATTTATAAACCATGAATGAATTATTATCTTTTTTTTTTTTTGGGAATCCTAATAACTAAGAAGATCGGTGGATATTAAAATGATTATCTACTAACAGAATTTGTCATCTTGGCACATGGATGACATAGTGCAACTTATATATTGTACACTTACACTCTCTTCATATCCAAGTATCAGCTCTAAACCCAGTTAAACTAAGCCTAAATCAAAGAAACTATATATGTTGGTTAATTTTTCATGAAAAGTACAGCTAAATATTAATTTTACTACTTAAGCGAACGTAATTATCGCAACTAGATTAACATCAAATTCTTCCACAAACGAATAACACAGAGCTTTACTTATCTAAAAAGTAAATAAAGTAAAAGCTCCAAGAAACAAAAGTAGGCCAACCTCACCTGCCCTTGCAACACTAAGCAAAACAAAAGTGCCCTACTGCAATTACAACTCACCAGAACTAAATAAATAATTATATAAATAAGGAAAAAAAAAAAAAAAAAAAAGGAAGTACCTCCGATACTGGACGGGCATGTTGCCCGCCTTCCAAATAGCGTCTTCTCAAAAGCTTCAATAGGAAGCACCAAATGCTTGTTGGCGGATTACATGGCCGCCTCCTCAGCATTAAAACCATAATTAGGAGCACAAAAGTTAGTCACAGTAGCAATAATGGAGGTTCCAGGGATGCACCACGCAAGTCCTACCGCAACGAAGTTCAAAGCACGCGCCACAGATCTGGCCACGCTCGAACATAGACTCGACAGACCACAGTGGCCTTACCATAGCCAGCCTTCACCAGGTCGCCATAGCCGCACGCGCCGCCGACAACGTCACGTGGATCAGAAGCGGCGTAGTAGTGGCGCGTGCGGGGCGCCACTCGGAATTCGGCGACGAAGCGGAGGGCGAGGAGGAAGAGAAATTGTAGTTGTAGTGAGAGGTAGCGGTTCGTGTAAGTGTGATAGAAGCAGTTGAAGTAGAATGAGATGTAGCATTTTTGTTTGTTGTTTGATAGAGAGTGGAGAAAATGAAGAATTTGTTTGACAAAGGATGAAAGTGAAAGTAAAGATGCTGCCTTTGTTTGATTTTGAAATTGATGATTTTCAATAAGTGGAAATGCTTTTTAGTTTATTATAGAGTTAAATTAAGGACATTAAATCCCAAATATTTTTTATAAATTTTTTTGTTAAGTTAAGATGGTAGATAGAGACAATTTGATATATCCATCAAACTATTAATAAAAGAGAAATTGATGTTATTTCATAAACATCAGGGATAAGGAGATTGGGATAACTTAGAGTTCAATAACACTACGGACACCGAAATAATAGCACCAAATTTTGTACTGGTCTACGTGTGATGCGTCTTTCCATTTTTTATAATTTTTTCTAGTGAACGACCTCATCAATTTGAACGATCGTTCACTCACTTGGACGCTCGTCCAATTATATGGACGGGCGTCCATATTCGAGGGACAAACGTCCATATATCATATTAAAATAAAATTAAAAATTTGTAAAACTTTGGAGACGGCCATCCATAAATTATGGACGGCGTCCCTTACGTTTGGACGGGCGTCCATTCCTAATGGAAGCCCATCCATACTTAAAAAAAAAAAACAAAAAAAAGTTTGGACCCATTATTTTGGTTTCTACAAATTAAAGAAAAACTTTGGACGATGCCTTCTTGATTCCAGCTGCAACTAACCCTTCCAACCTCCATGCTGTCTCCTTCTTCGTGTGCCCAAGCACGATGCCCTTCTTCAACTCTCTGCAGCAGTCTACCAGCTCAGATATCAAACATGCTCTGAAATCTCATGGCTGAAATAGCACGGATCTTCAGCGCCGTAATCAAGTTGCAAAAAAATAGCAACACAGTAATGTCTATTTATGGTGTCTCTGTGAACGTTGAAGAAAGAGAGAGAGAGACCTCCTTGACTAAATCCACATACAAACACATTTTTTGGATCTGTTCCAGCAGCTACTTCCTTGTTTATCATTGCATGCACATTCTGAACTCAAATGAATATCTGAAACAAATTATCAATACCAATAGAGGATCAGACACTAGTACGTTAAGCTCTTCCTCTAAGAAATTTCTAAGCATCTGCATAGGATAATATATATATAAATTAAATCCAAAATAAAATAAAAAAAATGGATTGGTCATCATCAAAGTGGTCTCTCCTTCCTGTGTATTGTGTTGCTTCTTCGTAGTTTTATCTTCAGTATTTGTGTTGAAAGCCGATGAAGTGTAAAGATAATATTATATATAAATTAAATCCAAAATTAAAAATTAAAAAAATGGATTGGTCATCATCAAAGTGGTCTCTCCTTCCTGTGTATTTGTGTTGCTTCTTCAGTAGTTTTATCTTCAGTATTTCAGCCATGGAGATTTCAGAGCATGTTTAGTATCTAAGCTGGTAGACTGCTGTAGAGAGTTGGAAGAAGGGCATCGTGCTTGGGCAGCACAGAAGAAGGAAGCAGCATGGAGGTTGAGAAGGGTTGAGTTGCAGCTGGAATCAGAGTAGGCATCGTCCAAAGTTTTTCTTTAATATGTAGAAACCAAAATAATGGACGCCCGTCCAAACATTTTTTTTTTTTTTTAAGTATGGACGGAAGTCCATTAGGAATGGATGCCCGTCAAAACGTAGGGGACAGCCGTCCCCAAAGTTTTACAAATTTTTTAATTTTATTTTAATAGGGACGGGCGTCCATATTATATGGACGCCCGTCCCCCGAATATGGATGTCCGTCCATATAATATGGACGGACGTCCATGTGAGTGAACAACCGTCTAAATTTGATGGAGGGCCGTTCACTAGAAAAAAAATTGTAAAAAAATAGAAAGACGCGTTACACGTAGGCCGGTACAGAAATTTGGTGCTAATATTTCGGTGTCTGTAGTATTATTGCTCTAGAGTTAATAACATTTTTTTCTATAAGATATGATTAAATAACAAAAAAAAATTTGAAGTTTCCAAAATAACAAAAATCTATTTACCGTTAAATTTTAAGTGTTAAAATAAATAATAAAAAGGTAATTTAGTAAATATTTATTACCTCCTAATAAAGTAAGTTCTAACTACTCACTAACACTTTACTAACACAACAAATTTTTTATTATTTCATAAATTTTAGGGAGATTTTTGTTATTTAATCATATCTGAAAGGTTTAATTTTTTTTTTAACTCCTTATTAACTTTGATTTTTTTGTTTTTCTCTCCAATTGGATTGGTCAATGATGATTAAATTATAATTTGAAACTTTTTTTAAATTATGCTTTTAAATAATTTGTATGATTGGGTTAGGATAATTTGACTATAATGAGAGGTATGGGTGCGCGCAACAATTAACTCAAGTCTGTCAAAAAAACTATCATCAATGTTAGATATTCACTATTGTTAAGAGTATACCATAATATTATTAATAGACCTTGTAGTAGTTATGCTATAACCTCCGATACTCGGTATTTCAAAAATAAAATTTAGATAATTAAATTGAAAATTCAGAAAAAATTAAATCTAAAAAAAAAATTATAAGAATATAATACAATTAAACAATATAAAAAAATATCTATAGATACTTTGATGAAAAAACTACAATAAATTTATATGTGAATTAATTAGAATTTTATAATTTGGTATTGGTTGCAACTGAATATCCCATTACAATTTTTATTCTTCCATTAAACTATCTTTTTGTCTTATGAATGATTCGAATAGTAAAATTGGATTTATGAGATAATAGAGTGGCTTCAAAATTATTTTTAATAAGAATTAAAGTTAATTTTAATAATGGATGGAGCTTTTTTTAATGTAGTGAGATGTTATAAATCCACCCATATATAAATTGTTGTTATAAAATAGTAATGAGAAAATAATATCCATCTGTTGTGGGTGGAATTTAAATTTGCTGCAAGAGCCCAATAAGACCCATGCACAAGCCCGAGAAGAGAGAATAAATAAGTGAGCTCAAGACCATGCAATATGCCCAATGAACTTGAAAGATAATAAATTGTTTAAAATTGGGCCTAGACCTTGTCTGGGTGATTTTTAACCGCATCTCCATCTTAAATAGGAGTAAAATAGTGGGTGCGTTTGGTTTAGTATTTTGGAGATAGAATTTTAGGGATAGTATTGGGTTATTGGAATGGGAGTATTACGAAGTAAATTTTAAAAATTTATAAAAAAGCCCTTAGGTTTACTAATTTAACTAAAGACCCTAACATGTAAAATGACAAAAACACCCCCACCATCTGCAGTGTCAGATTCCGGCCACCACCGCGGAATCTGGCCGGAAAATTTCGTTACGGCACCGACTTGTCGGATCTGTGCCGTAAACGTCGTTATGGCCTTTTCCGCTAGATCCATGGTGGATCTGGCGGAAAAGGCCAGATCTACGGTTTGTTTTGGCCGTCGACGGCCGGAAAAGGCAAACGACGGCCATTTCTTTGGCGTCGCTGACGGCCAGATCTGGCCTTTTCCGGCCAGATCCGTGGTGGATCTGGCCGGAAAAGGCCACAGCGGTGAACTTCCGGCCATTTCTGGTCGAAGTTTGGCCGTTGTACAGATTCCGGCTATCACCGACGGTGGTTGCCGGAATCTGACAAGTTGGGTTGATGGGGGTGTTTTTGTTAATTTTTAAACTTTTTTTCAGGGGTATTTAGTGAAATTAATAATCTATGGGGTTAAAATGTAATTAAAAAAATAGAGTAATATTTTGGAATATGTACCCAACGCTATTTAAAAAATAGGATCTAGAATAGGGATAAAAATATTAAACCAAACGCAGCCAGTATGTATTTAGAAAAATTACTAATATACATGTTCATTATTTTGATTAATATCTTAAATCTTTTAGATTCTTATATTTCTTTAATTTTGTCAACTCTAAAAATTAACATAAATACTTGTTTGATTCAAGTTATAGTAATTTCTTTTTGTATGGTCATTTTTCCATTTAAACAATGGAATTGTGCAATTCTCCAAAATATAAACTTAGGATAAAATAAAATAATAATGATAAAGAACTCTCCTAAAGAAGACCAAACAATGTTTACTTTACTTTAAGTCTAAAAGATAAGAGATACAGAGATTTGAAAATAAAGTGAAACACAAATAGTTTTTGATAATTAATACAATAAGCTTTAATTTATTTGTGAAATTATGAATTCTGATTAACCTAATTTTTTTTTTTTTTTTTTTTCCTGTTAACTACAAATTCAAAGTTTTGAAAAAAAAGTATGGAGGAAGGACAATATTTTTTATTACTATTATACCCTCAAAGTAGAAGAGTGGGGCTCAAAATCATTCCCCCTCTTAAAAACGTGATATTTGGGGAGTTAACAAGTGTAAAGAAGACAATTGTTATTAATAGACTAGAAAAGTCTGACGTTTTAATCATTTTTATAATGACAAAATTATCTTCATATTGAATTATTAAAATGGCCATTAATTTCTTATTTATTACAAATGCTTTTGATAACCTACTTTTATCTCATAAATTGTAATTTTTATATACTAATAAAATCATACTTAGAACTAAAAGATAGTCTAATGGGTGAAGAAAACTTGCAGGTTACAAGTAATACACAATTGTTACTTTTTAATTGCCTATCATTTTTTATTTTTAAATCAAATTATCTTTAATGAAAAACTAGCTAGAAAAAATAGATATTTCATGTTTAACATAATTTTATATTATTTTGATTTGTTTATTACAAATCTTATCGTATCATGTTGCTGAGTTAATTATTTGGATTTTCTTTTTCTAACTTTAATTTTTTTGAACTTTTAATTTGAATATCTATAATTTTGATTTAGGAATGATGATTGTGGGGTGTATAGGAAGGGAATGAAATGTTTACAAATTTAAAATTAAAAAAAAAAAAAAATGGAATGAAGGGTATTTATAAAATTTATGGGATGCCGTAAAAAAATTATTTTTAAAACTTTAAAAATAAATATTTTAAGAAATTGAGTTTCTTTAATCAATTGATGAGGGTAAATATAACCACTCTTGTTACTATTAGGTTGTCTTTGCTTAGGGCTGCGGGCAAATAACTCATGTGATCTATCTTTGATTCCATACATTTCTTTGTTGTGTTTGATAGTAATATAAGATTTTGGGAATGTTTCATTCCCAATAGTGAATATTATTGGTCATTTTGGGGGTTATCAGATTACGTAGTCCAAGAGTGTTAATCTTTTTTTATCGGGGTTATCTTTTCTTTTTTTCTTTTTTTTACCAAATTTGCCCTTAAATGAAAGTCATTTTGGATTGAATTGTCCTCAAATGTCTACCAAATAACAATCACCCAAACCCCTTATATTTGAAAATTTAGTTAAAATACCCTAGCCACATAAAATTTAAAAGTTAACAAAATATCCCCAGTCACCAAAGATCACCACTGACTGCTAGTCAACACTGCCGACCATTGGCAATAGTCGTCAGATCGATGCACGACCGACGGGATCTGGTTGATTGTGCGTCGATCTGGCTGTTTCTGGTCATATCAAAGGCCGAAAATGACCAGATCATGATGGATTTGGCCGAAAACGGCCAAAACAGATTTGGCCGTTTCAGACCAGATCCACAACGATCTGACTGTTTTTTGCTTCAATCTGGCTAGAAACAGCCATATTGGCGTGGATTTGGCTAGAAACAACTAAAATAGTGCACGGTCGAGCAAATCTCGCCGGTCAAGCACCATTTCGGTAGCTGTCGCCAGTAGGTGGTGGTGGTCTTGGGTGGCTGGGGGTATTTTATTAAAATTTAAACCTTGTTGTTAGATGTTTTAACTAAATTCTCAAGTATAGGGGGTTAAAAGTAATTTATTTAAATAATAATATTAAAAAGGAAGGGCAATTCAATAAAAGCATTTGTCGATAATATTTTATTTTTTCCAACCAAACATATTAATTATTTATATCCACTATTCTAACTAAACATATTGATATAACATTCCCTTATAATCTTCAAGGTAATCTATCTTACTAGTAATCCTACGTTTTTAGCAATAAAATATTTTCCAAACAAAACACACCCTTAAAGTCTTTTTTCTTTCATCGAAGCTTAAGTCTCTACTCAAATACTTGAAGAAATTTGCCATAACATTTCAAAGAGTATGGATAACTTTTCGCCACCATTACCATTGGGATTATCTTTAAACGTGTAAGGGGGTAATTCTAAAATCACAAGCATCCCTTTGTTTTCCACTTTGATTTTAGTTCATAATTTGGATTATATAAACATGGAATGAGTCATGTTGGCCAGACCCACCTCTCTTTACTTGAATTTCTCTAAATAGCTTTAAGGGAAAAATGAGATGCTCCACGTGTCAAGCTACTAATAGAACATCTCCCACAAACACTGTTTATCATGCAATTATTCGCTTTATTTAGGTAGCCACACAATGGGGATATCCTCAAATTAAATACAAATATTTCAATTAAAAAGAATCAATGATTCAAAGTGTGATAATCACAACAAATACTAAGAATTGTGAGCCATATGTTTTGGAGCCGATTGACCATACGCAAATTGCAACTACTGACTCAGGCGTAGGACCCGCCTTCCTAAACTAAACGCAACAACCAAAGAAAACAGGATAGCTTAGTTATGGTCTTAAGTCCTAAGACTACGTGGTGTTAGCTCATTCGCCGTTTCCAACAAACGCCTCCACTCGGCTCCTAGTATGGGCCCTACTGAGCCGGAAACAGAATCTCTGGCCTCTGGTTTCAATGCTTGCTCGAAAGTTCGGTTTACACCTGGCTCGCCCTTTTTCGCTTTATTCAACTCTTCCCTTTTTCAAATAGGAACTGCTCACCCTCTTTTTTATTTCTATTATTTAATTACTTTTTTTAAGAAAATTTAATTAAAGCTGTCTTTGTTGAAAACTTTCTGATAACATTTTATTTAAGAAAATAAATTTGCAATTGAATATAAAACGTATTATTTTATTTGATATTATGGATTTTCTGATTAATATAGTAAAGTTTTATGTTTAACATGTCTTTTTCTTTTGGTAATGTCCAGATTCGTTAAATATATTGAAAATATTTTTTATTTGAAAGTATACCAAATTCAACTTAATTACAAAACTTTAATCTTTGTCGTTTTTATATACTTTCTATAAAAAAAAAGTTTCCTAATTGGTGGTTGTTGCTTTTTTTTTTTTAACTATTTTATATATATATAATATCAAATTTAATCTAAAAATATTTGCACTAACTTTTTCATATTTTATATAGTATATTTTTGCATATAATTTAAATGAACTTGTCTTATATTATTTTGATAAATAAAAAAATTGATACTTTAATCCTAAACCTTAGATGTCCTTTTTGTTCTTCTAAAATAATCTTAAAAACTTATCTATACAATAATAAAGCGTAGTAGCAATCACATCCTAATTCGCTTTTCATCCGACCAGAAACATCAGAAAACCCTAATGAAGAATTTGTGGGCATCAATTTTTGAGATTAAATTAATTTTAAGTCCAACTAGAAACGAGTGGCTATCAACCATCCATATCCGTTCTCTCTCCCTCACTTCTTGGTACACGTGTCGCTGCTCATAAGGAAGGGCGGCAAGTGGCGATGACGTGGCGAAAAGTGCAGGAAAAGTCACCTGGGACCTCCTCTTTCTCTCATCATCAACCTTATACTTGGCCGTAGATATTTTAAATTTTCTACTATTTCATAAATATCATTCAATTTCTTTAATATCTTTTTAATATAAACATCACTGACTGAGAGTAGAATTAAAAGCTACTCGCTACCTGGACCAATCACAGCTCTGCTTGTGGCTTCAATTAAAGAAAAAGCTACACGAGCCTCTTGACACATCCAGTCAAAAAGTTCCAATTTCTATACATTTATTTATATATAACAAACAACAAAAAATTTCTTTTAATTAACTAAAACTATTAATTATTTTCTTTTATTACGATCTCTATTTTTGTCATTAAATTTAAGGAACTTCCTGGCCTCTGTTCTAGTTACAAAAGCTTAATTAAATTTCTTAAATAAAAAATAAAAGTAATATTTATCTTAATGTAAAAAATTATAATGATAATATTTGAAATGGAAGTTGTAGGCATTACTTAATTTAATTTTTTAGATTTTAAAAGTTAAATAAGAGGTTATGGATGGAATCTGGGTGATAAATAGGTAGAGGTTTGATTAAAATATATGAGTTAAAATAAAATAAAAAATCCATGTTAACAAAAAAATAAAAAGTATATTAATTTATCATACATTTAATTCAATAACCTAACTAAATTTAAATTCCTAAATTAATAAACAAAATCTATTGTGAGATAAAAAAACTATAGAACCTGACTAAAACCACGCGTAAATATCGTTAACAAATTAGGAAACTCACGTGAATTTTAATCAAAATAAATTAATTTCTAAATTAAGACTAGTCGGGAAGATAGAGGAAAAGGTATAAATAATAAAAAATAAAAAAAATTACAGAGAAAGTTGCGTAGAGATAAGATAAGAAGAAAGAAGGTTACTCAAACATTAAACACATGCGAGTATGTATGGCTTGTAGCCCCTGAATTTCTCAAACTAATTAATCACGCTGCGTAATAAAAAGCGGAGAGACACGACAGTCACTGCCACGTGTTAACCCTGTCTTTTGACGTGAGCCACAAGATTTTATCGATTTCTCGAGCTTTCCATCTCAACTTTTTTTAAAAAAAAAATTAAAAAAATTTAAACAAACTGACGTGGCATCCTCTTCCTTCTTCTTTCTTCTTTCTTCTTGTTCTTTTATTTTTTTCTCCATTTCTTTCACAAGCCATATAGTCTTTTCAAAACTATTAATTTAACTCTCTCTCTCTCTGTTTCTCTCTGTTCTTCAACTCGCCTTCTTAAAAAAACTTCTCTGTTTCTCTCTGCTTTGTTTTCTTGCACCAGATTACCGAGTGCTCGAAGTTACTGTTATCGAAACTTTCTTTGTATTCCATTCAAGGCCTGTACCGAAGAAACTTAGCGAATGGCTTTGAATTTTGTGATAAATTCGTTATGTTTTTGTTGATTCTGAAAGTAAGAGAAGAGATACTGAATAGAAGGAGATCTTGATGGTTTTTGTAGCTATGGCTGTCCAAGTATGTCTACAAATTTCATTATCCCTCTTATTTCTGTTTAATTTTTACTTTTACAAAACTGTTTTAATTTTTATACTGATTTGTGCTTAATTATCTTCAATTTTCTTGTTGTAAACAATATTTTAGTTTTTTTGTTTTTCAATTTTTTGTTGAACATAGTTTGCTTTTATTAGTAAAAGACAGATCGTAGAGAAAGCCTTAATTTGTCTCTTTGAAATTTTAGTTTATGCTTAGAAAACTTGTGTAAATAGAGAAATGTTGCTAATAAGGGATTTTGTCTTCAAATGAATTTTCCAACTTGTGTGTACTGTTAGTCTAGCTAGTTAGATCTCGTGTTGGATCAAATAAAAACTGGTTGAAATAAAACTTGCGAATTTCGAACAGGCAATCGGGAAGAATCTTAAGGCGTAACTGTACAATATATATATATTGTGTTAATAGCTTTTGAAATAAAAAAAAACTTCTGTTATGTTGGTGTAGGAGTGCTGGGAGTGCGAAACTACATAGATGTTGTTTCTGTTTGTTTGTATGTTGTAGTAGTTTTAAGTTACTGGAATTTAACAGATTTTACCCTTTGCGTTAAAAGGATGAATGTGGAGATGGTCATTCAGACTTGGTTCTTCCGGTTGTTAATGGATTTGCGTCGAGTTCTGGTCTCCAAATGAAGGGTCAATTTTCTTGTGGGAATGACTACGCTCCTAAGGTTTGCTTTAGTTTGTTCTTAGTGTTTTGCTTCACTCCTAAGAAAATCAATTGCAGATCTCCATTGACTCTACGTTTTGTTTCTTTTGCTAGGCAAGGAAACCGTACATAATCACCAAACAAAGAGAAAGGTGGACTGAGGAAGAGCATAAGAAATTTCTTGAAGCCCTGAAGCTGTATGGCCGGGCTTGGCGGAAGATAGAAGGTAATTGAGTCACAGTTATTGTTTTTTTGAGTAAGCGTTGTGATGCCCCCTGAATGAACAACCATATTCTGTTTTCATAACAGAACATGTTGGCTCAAAGACTGCAGTTCAGATTCGAAGCCATGCTCAGAAATTCTTTTCTAAGGTTTACTGCTCTTATACCAATATCCATTCTACCATATTGATATGATATAGACTGAAGTAAGTTGAAAATTGTGTGAACCCCAGGTTGTTTAAACGATTTTAGAAGGGTTCATTTGTTCATTCTTAATGTTGTTCTTACCCTGTTTCTGCCTTCATGATAGGTTGTTCGTGAGTCAAGTGGCAGCAACACAAGCCCACTGGAACCCATTGAAATTCCCCCTCCTCGACCGAAACGAAAACCTGTGCATCCTTACCCTCGTAAATTGACTAAAACACTTGTCAAAGAAAGCTCAAACCCAGAGCTGCCTAGAAGGTCTATATCTCCAAACTTATCTGTTTCAGAACAGGAAAACCAATCTCCAACATCAGTATTATCTGCAGTTGGTTCGGACGCTTTTGGTTTCTCCGATTCGAATACACCTAATGGCAGCTTATCACCAGTTTCATCTGCTGACCCTGTCCATACTGGTGGATTAACACTTTCCCGCCCAAATTCTTCACCCGAAGAAAGTGGAACTCCACTTGTCTTAGCTGGTGGTTCAGTTTTGGATGAGCAGTCACCCACGGTACTACCACACCCCTCAAACAATCAGATTTTGAATACTGATTATTTTTGCCAAAAAATTTATGGTTTTCTTGTTATGGTTCTATTTTCTTTTGGTTAGGATGCCACAAAACTTGAGTTGTTTCCCCAAGAATTTGCTAGAGAAGTCTCTGCTGATAAAGCATCTACCCGGAGCCTTAAGCTGTTTGGTAGAACCGTATTAGTTACTGAATCCCATAGACCGAATTCTCCCACTGCAGGGACTCCTAAATCATTGCCTTCAGAAATGAATGAAGGAAGACCTTTGCAATTATCGCCGTTGTCATCTGGGAATACTAAATGTGGTTGGAATCATTTTTCAGATGCAGCACCTGCGGGTCTCTGTTTCACGCAATTCCCAGATAGAAATTTAAATCAGGTGGAAGCTTCAGCTGCTCCTCTGCAATTGTGGACTTTATATGGGAGTCCACCCTTTCCGGTGTCTCCATACCATAAGCAGGAGACAGTGAAGGTACATGTAGATTTTAATCTCCAAGAAATCCAGGAGAAAGAATTTCAGAAGGAAGGATCTTGGACTGCTTCAAACTCAAAATCAGTAAATGAGGAAGACAGTTTTGATAAACATTCAGAGAGCGAAACTCAGAGTTGCCGATTTTCTTTTGACAAGGAGGAAAAGGAGCCAGATGTAACTTTTGAGCTTAAACCTAGTGAGAAATCTGCCTTCTCCGTAATAAAAGCAAAGCCTGACAAGAGTATGAAAGGGTTTATGCCATATAAGAAACGTGTGGCAGAAAGAGAAGCTCCATCATCAACAATAACAGGCGAGCAAAGAATCCGCCTTCGTCTCCGGTGATGGCAATGGGTACACTCATTAGAGTTTCTTGAGTAGCTGATAGGTGTTTCTTAACCGGTTGAAGAACTGAATCAGGTGCACTTAACAACTGGATAGCGGGTTGGGCTGCTTGTGGAAAAACCATAAGCGTCTGGTTTATTGCAACTCACATCTACATCTAGTTAGTTTTTCACCCCAACTGTTGAATTCCATAATCTGCCCCCTTCCTGTATGTTTAATTGTTACATATTTTTCCTTTTGAGTAGCAGCTTTATTCCTTTAAATTCTTTTCCTTCTTTGAACCGTGAATTCCTTGTACCCTAATTTTGCCGTATCCATTGTATAATATCCACGACTAGTTTCTTATTGATGAGTTAATGTATAATTATGTTGGAAGTATTTGTTGCTTGTGCTGTACTGATAATGTAGCTAAAGTTCCAAATGTTTGTTGCATTTTTTTTTTTCTTCCAGAAACGATGCTAAGTCAACAAGAAGGTCCGTAAGAATAAGACGCGGCATCTTTTTTAACTCAGTTTGTGCTCAGCCAACATAAACTCTTAATTCAACCATGGAAACGGGAAACCTCAATTTTTTGAACAATTGAAATCAATACTGAATTGGTGGGTCTTCGTAAGATTTTAGATAATATTTTTTTCTATTTCTCTATTAAAGGCCTACAAATACTGAATCCTAATTAATAAACCAAACATTGTCAAGCTCATCCTTGATCTACCATTATAATTATTTTTCAAAATCCTGGACGGATAAAATAACCATGACGCTCAAAAGAGAAAGTAATCTTTTGGAAAAATAATTCTTAAACAAATATCTAATTCATATAATAATGGGGATGAAATAAGTTAATTTACTTTTGATTCTGCGATTTCTAATACCCATGAATTCAATTTCTTTTTTTCCATATTTGATTTCAAGTTTTTTGTGGAATCTGTTGGCTGAGTAGTAGTGAAGGTAAGAGATTGTAACAACTTAAAGAAAATTTGATCTCTTTATTCACATCCGTTATTTATTTACAGATAAATAAGTTTCAAAGAGATTTGGGAATCTAATCTAAATCTACCTCCCATCTATTTAACACAGAGAAAAATTCAGATCTTTCAAAGAGATTTCAGATTTGAAATTGTAAAACTTTTAATTTTAATCATTTGGCCTTAAAGAGTTTAAATAGAGCTAGGATTTTGAAAGAAAACGGAACCAAAGCCCATACGATAGGAGTTCTCAAGGTAAAAAAAAAAAAAAACAAAGAGTGACCGGACAGCGTTAGGGGACCGGCGTCATATGCTTTGGGTCCAATCTGATCCAATGGGTTCAAAATTTGTTTTGTTTTAAAACCGAAACAGAACAAGGATTTGAGTATCGTTACCTTAGGTGGGATCGTTGGGCTGTAACCTTATTATTCAAAGTTTACCTAACAGTAGTGATAAGAATCCTTTGGTTGGGTTCTTTTAAGTAAACGCAATTAATTATATTTAGAGTTACTCACACCTGACTAATAGATCAAAGAAGCCTCTTTCGTTAAAACATCGAGGGTTGCGTCTGTTTTATTATTTATATCCTATTCCCAAAATATATATTTGTTTAATTATTTAAAAAATATTATTCTATTTTTTTAAATACTTTTAAATTTCTTAAGTTTATTAATTTAATTAAACACCTATAGAAAAAAAAATTTAAAAATTAATAAAAACACCCCCACCCACCCATAGTTGCCAGATTCCGGTAATCACTGTTGGCGATTGTCGGAATCTGTCACAACGGCATAAAAACGATCAGAATTAGTCGGTACTTCATCGATCTGGTCTTTTCCGGTCAGATCCACAGTGGATCTGGTCGAAAAAGACCAAATTTGACTGTCAACCGAGGCCAAAGAAATGGTCGTCATTGATGGCCAAATCTGACCGTAGATCTGATCTTTTGCCAGATCCGTGGTAAATCTAGCCAGAAAAGGCTATATCGATCCATGACCAACCAGATCTAACCGATCTACGTCGTAATGCCATTTTTCGGCCAGATTTTGACGGTAGTGGCCGAAATCTGGCACTGTAGGTGGTGGGAGTGTTTTTGTCATTTTACAAAAAATTTATATATTGAGGTGTTTAGTTAAATTAGCAAACCTATGAGGTTTTATTGTTAAATTTTAAATTTTACCTTATAATACTCACTCTATTCAACTACCCAATATTATTCCCAAAATTCTATCCAAAATAACAAAACAAATGCACCCGTCATTTTCAAAGTTTCAAAATTAATTTTTTTTCTTATAACACCTTATAAATTTCATAAATATTCTTCCTTTCATTTTTATTCTATATTTTAAAAGAGCTAACTTATTAGTCCCTTCACTTATGCTGTATAATACACCCCACTCTACCTTTATTCCTAAATAAAATTTTAAATAATTAACTTGAAAGTTCAAAAAACGTTAATGCTAAAAAAAAACAAACAACTCACATGAGCAAAAACTCGCAACACCATTTCACAAAGCAAAAGATTTCAATCGCTTTTGTCTCTGCGATTTATTCGTCCTTTCTATTACTCGCCAATTCGCCTTTGTTTTCGAGTTCCTTTCAAGGACTCTACGATTTCGGTGGTGGTCCGTGGTGGTTGGCCGCTGCCAGTGGTTTGGTGCGGGGTGGCAGTGGCGGTGGTGGCTGGGTGAGTGGTGGTCTGTAAATTATTTTAATATAAGGGATTATAGTCCAAAATTTTAATTACAAGGGTAAATTGAAATAGAATAATTATGTAAATGTTTTTAAATAGGGGTATTATTGTCCAAAATTTTTATTAATAAGGGATAAAATTGTAACAAAAAAAGATAACCCTGATCTCAGAATACCTAAAGAAATGGATAATCAGATTACCTCTTATATTGTTACTATGGTATTTAAAGATTACCGGTATCTTATATTACTACAACAAACATGGTAATCAAGTAATATAAGATGACATAACCCCAGTAATTCCACTTAACCCCTAACCAAATGCCCTAAGGGAAAAAATTAGATGCCCACGTGTCAAGCTAGTAATAGCACATCCCCAAACACATGTTTATCATGCAATTATCGCTTTATTTAGGTAGCCACACAATGGGGATATCCTCAAATTAAATACAAATATTTCAATTAAAAGAATCAATGATTCAAAGTGTGATAATCACAACAAATACTAAGAATTGGTGAGCCATATGTTTTGGAGCCGATTGACCATACGCAAATGCAATACTGACTCAGGCGTAGGACCGCCTTCCTAAACTAAACGCAAACAACCAAAGAAAAGAGGATAGCTTAGTTATGGTCTTAAGTCCTGACTACGTGGTGTAACTCATTCGCAGTTTCAGCAAACGCCTCCACTCGACTCTTGTGCATGGGCCTATGAGCCGGAAACCTGGCCTCTGGTTTCAATGCTTGCTCGAAAGTTCGGTTTACACTGGCTCGCCCTTTTTCGCTTATTCAACTCTTCCCTTTTTCAAATAGGAACTGCTCACCCTCTTTTTTATTTCTATTATTTAATTACTTTTTAAGAAAATTTAATTAAAGCTGTCTTTGTTGAAAACTTTCTGATAACATTTTATTTAAGAAAATAAATTTGCAATTGAATATAAAACGTATTATTTTATTTGATATTATGGATTTTCTGATTATATAGTAAGTTTGTGTTAACATGTTTTTCTTTTGGTAATGTCCAGATTCGTTAAAATATTGAAAATATTTTTATTTGAAAGTATACCAAATTAACTAATTACAAAATTTTAATCTTTGTCGTTTTATATACTTTCTATAAAAAAAAAGTTTCCAATTGGTGGTTGTTGCTTTTTTTTTTTTAACTATTTTATAATATAATATCAAATTAATCTAAAAATATTTGCACTAACTTTTTCATATTTTATATAGTTATTTTTGCATATAATTTAAATGAACTGTCGTATATTATTTGATAAATAAAAAAATTGATACTTTAATCATAAACCTTAGATGTCCTTTTGTTCTTCTAAAATAATCAAAAACTTACTATACATAATAAAGCGTAGTAGCAACACATCCTAATTCGCTTTTCATCCGACCAGAAACATCAGAAAACCCTAAGAAGAATTTGGGGCATCAATTTTTTAGATTAAATTATCTTAAGTCCAAGTAAACGAGGGGCTATCAACCATCCATATCCGTTCTCTCTCCCTCACTTCTTGGTACACTGTGCTGCTCATAAGGAAGGGCGGCAAGGGGGATGACGGGGCGAAAAGTGCAGGAAAAGTCAACTGGGACCTGCTCTTTCTCTATCATCAACCTTATACTTGGCCGTAGATATTTTAAATTTTCTACTATTCAAAATATCATTCAATTTCTTTAATATCTTTTAAATAAACATCCTGCCTGAGAGTAGAATTAAAAGCTACTCGCAACCTGGACCAATCACAGCTCGCTTGGGGCTTCAATTAAAGAAAAAGCTACACGAGCCTCTGGACTCTTTAACACATCCAGTCAAAAAGTTCCAATTTCTATATATTTTATTATATATAACAAACAACAAAAATTTCTTTTTATTTACCTAAAACTATTAATTATTTTCTTTTATTATGATCTCTATTTTTGTCATTAAATTTAAGGACCTTCCTGGCCTCTTTTCTAGTTACAAAAGCTTAATTAAATTTCTTAAATAAAAAATAAAAAGTAATATTATCTTAATGTAAAAAATATTAATGATAATATTTGGACTGGAAGTTGTAGGCATTTTAACTTAAGTTTTTAGATTTTAAAAGTTAATTAAGAGGTTATGGATGGAATCTGGGTGATAAATAGGTAGAGGTTTGATTAAAAATATGAGAAAAAATAAAATAAATAAAATAAAAAATCCTTCTTAACAAAAAAATAAAAAGGATATTAATTTATCATTCATTTAATTCAATAACCTAACTAAATTTAAATTCCAAAATTAATAAACAAAATCTATTGTGAGATAAAAAACTATAAAGCCTGACTAAAACACGCGTAAATATAGTTAACATAGGAGCTCACGTGAATTTTAATCAAAATAAATTTATTCTAAATTAAGACTAGTCGAGAAGATAGAGAAAAGGTATAAATAACAATAAAAAAAAAAAAAGAAAAAAAATACAGAGAAAGTTGCGTAGAGATAAGATAAGAAGAAAGAAGGTTACTCAAACATTAAACAATGCGAGTATGTATGGCTTGTAGCCCCTGAATTTCTCAAACTAATTAATCACGCTGCGTAATAAAAAGCGGAGAGACACGACAGTCACTGCCACGTGTTAACCCTGTCTTTTGACGTGAGCCACAAGATTTTATCGATTTTCGAGCTTTCCATCTCAACTTTTTTAAAAAAAAAATTAAAAAATTTAAACAAACTGACGTGGCATCCTCTTCCTT